AAAATACATGTTAGTACAGGTTTAAGTAATTTAGATCTTTACAATTCAACTAAATTACTAATTTGTCCATCCTAAAGAAAGTTGGTATCTGTGGGGTGCATAAGATGACTAATGCTTTTATGAATTTTGTGAAAAGGTAACAATACTGTAGAAGCAACCTAAAATATTCATGTTTACAAGATTGATTATTTAAACAAAAGAAACTGCTGGAAATAGCTCGAAAGGTTTACAAAAAATGATTTCAAGTGGGGGAAAAAAAAAAACCCCAACAAAAAAAAAACACAACCAGGTTGTCCTGTAGAGTTTAACAACATGCTGCTTTTATTTGAACTCTAGTGAAATAGTGATTTCATGGCTAAAGAATTAGCTCAAAAACTGAACTCAACAGTTCACAATCATCTATAGCAACTTACAAAAAAAATTGGCCCCTCACAATGTCAATGAAGCCAACTAGAAAACAATAGACATTTGCACTCTTATGAACACACATCACTATTTTAGGAGAGATTAGTGAAGGGCAACGAGATAGAAGATGGGAGGTGGGGGTTAAAAAAAAAAACAAAAAAAAAAAAACAGAACACGTTCTGTAAGAATAAAATAATGCAGGCAATAGCTCAAAATAGATATACACACTAGAAACTTTTTTTTTCTTTTAACAGAATTGTGTTGGTATGGCTCAGTTGCTACCAGTCACTAGTACAATTAAAGTAGACATCCTCTGTCAGCAAATAAAGCATTTAAATAGTGCTTTGAAAGAAAAGAGGACTAATTTAATCAATTGCAAATGTATTGTTCCATCATGATACAGAAAAAAAAAAAAAAAAAAAATCACAACTGAAGACTTTATTTGAAAAGAAAATAATCTATCCAGTCCTTATCTTTCAGATTTTGATCTATATGGCTACTACTTATTCTGGAATCATCTTTATGGACAAGCTCCAAAAACATAAGGTGGAAAGTACTCTCCCTGTTTTCTTTTTCACCAAACAAAAAACAAGACAGTATTATGATGTTTGTAAATTATTGGAAAGAAGTTATAGATGTGACAACTAAGTCTACATGTTGTTTACTGCACAACCTGTAGTGATATCCAAAGTCGGCCGTGTCTGTATATACACCCAACTTGCTATGTTCACAGGTATGTCTCCTTGGCCATGATCGAATTTAAGAATAATGACAAATGCTTTTCAAGACACTGGTTGGGAAATGGCAAGAATACGGCTTCAAGAAATTGACTGTTACCTTACTAATTTCCGGCCACGGAATGAAGACCCTTACATTCATTGACCATCCAGGTGACTGCTCGTTTTTCACTGCTCGCTGACCCTTTCTTGGCTGCTGGTCAACTACTCCTGGTCCTTTTCTCTCTGACTGCCCATCACTTACCCACTCACCCTTGACTTCCTGACTGCTTATATAGATACTGGCTGGGGTCCCACCACCTTACCCATCCACTTGTGTGCCGGAAAAGTAAACCACCCAAAAAGCTGGATGGGTGGTCAGTTTCTTCAAAGGACACTACTTATATGATTATCTAAAATCATTGACAAAATTTTATGTTTGGCTATTCAATGGTAGGAGTCCTGAAAACTGTCAATTGACTCAAAGATGGACTGGAGATTAAATTCCTAAGAAACTCAGATAATTAAGTGGACTTAAAAGGAAAAGGAAATTATCTACTTATCTCCTAAGGATGTGTGAAAATTCATGTTGTTACACAGATCATGATGTAATCTATGTTAATGAATGAATTCTAATTAAACATGATTTTTCATACCGCTTTTTGATATTAAATTCAGACATTTTTTTTTTTTTTTATTATGCATTGACTGAAAATAAAATTACAACAATCTGAATATGTGTTTCAATTTACTCAAGATTGAACATACATGTAATATAGCGGGATTACAGTAAATAATTACATATACAGATCTTTATATGCACAGGTTTCAAAATAAAGGGTGTTTAAAGAGACTCAGACCCTCTTTTAATACACTGTATATGCATAATTGTATGGATACATTTGTACAGATGGCAAATACCATACATTACATATACCTGTGATATATCATTTCATTCCTCTTGCACCTGTTGATAATATACAACAAGAGATGCAGCTGGGCAAAATGAACAAGTCAAGTGTAGTCCCATCATATCCCATGCATGTGAACTGGATAATGGGTTTGGTGATTGTGCCAGCCAGGAAAGTTGTTAAACATCATTCAGAACATATATTGGTTAGTACAGACATCATGTAATTGGACATTATCCTATTAGAACTTGTTACAGGAATGACAAGCTGAACAATGTTTTTTTTTTTTTTACTACAAGAGAGTGAGTGTTGAACCTGTGTGCCATGGGTGAATACTCTTTAAAAGATGCCACACCTCAGTTCTACATGTAAGCAACCATTACTTGAATAAAAGGTAGAACTTGTTATCATTGAACCCTACAGAGTACTATTTGATTCTTCAGGCGACCTTGTGATAATGAGAGATATGGATAGTGGTATTGTGCTTTAAGTGGAAGTCTGGCGAGAGGCATGAAATCATCAATAGGCCATGCTGACAACACTGCTTTGTTTTGACCTGTGCTGTAGAAACACTGTGGTTTGTCACTGCTGATCTTGGAAAACATTTGTAATATGTGGCCATTTTACATGGTCATGTAGGTGATGAATTATTTTCCATTATACAACCCCATACCAAACAAAACATTACTACTTTATCACTATTTTCATGCAAAAATCTTCAGATGAGCTACCTTCCACCAGTTCAGACTAGCCACAACATGTACACAGAAGTGAACCATTCTCATTACCTTTATATTCCATTAAGTAGGAAGCTTCATTTGGACAGCTTCTTCCCAAGAGTGGCTGCTTTGCGGAACAGATTCCCAACAAGATACTTCTACAGCCACTACAACTTAACCTCTTCAAGTTCACAGTGAACCATTATGTATCTTACATTATAATTGCACGTATCACATCTGGACCAAAATAAGTTGCAATTTTATTTTCTATCAGTATATACAGTTATTAGTATTAAATTATGTTATATAGGAATAAAGTGTCATTGCTGACACTGTTGTTTGAACATAGATCGCAAGTGAACACACACAGGCGATCTCATTTTTCATTAGGTAGATCACATGACCATAGCGGAAACGCTTATATAGAGGACGTGACATATAAGGTATTCACTATTTCTCCTCCATCCCCTATATATTCAGACTGCTATTCTCTTCTCACTATACAAAGTATTATTACTATGAGTATTAGTCTAAGATGTCTGATATGAGTATTCTTCATTGGCATACTATAATTGGTATTTGCGATTACAAAGTGTCCTACTACATTGACGAAATATCAAGCAAGTATACACTGTCATAACAGTGGCAACAAAATGTCATTTCAATGACATAACAAATTATATACAGTAATTTAAATAGAAAATGTTAGGATTAATATTCTCAGGTGGAGTCATAACTAATTTCCGTTTTGTGGAATGAATTGTAATGACAAATACATCCTCTTAACTACTACTAATCATACATGGCAGTTAAGAATAAATTTGAAATACACTAAAATGTGTTAAATTTTGCACAGCAATATACATAATGGATTAAAGAATAAATTTCTTAACTCCACTAATGGAGGGATTGAAAGTGCATTTATGTCATATACTATCATGGAAGTTCAAGCAAAGTAATGATGCTATAGAAACATTTAGAAAAATATGTAATGTTTATGGTTAAGGAGTCATAACAGAGTGGCAAGTATGAAAATTGGTTTGCCAAGTTTCATTCTGGAGAAACATCACTGGAAGATGAACCCAAACCATAGATAGTGCTCATTGGATTTTGATGAAGAAGCTTTGAAGGCAGTGGAAAGCAATCTATGGCAAAGTACTTGGGAATTAGAAAAGATGTTAAACACATAACAATCTACTATATATTGACTCAGAAAATATAGGAAAATAATGGTGAATACATAATTGAATAAAATTAAATTACACTTTTTATTTTTTGAAGAATAAAGTTGATAAAAATGAAAATTATTTATAGCTCAATGTAATATCTTGAGAAAGAATTATTAAATGAAGATCAGAACTTTTAAGAATGTGGCAATCCCTGTGCTGAGCACCCACCCATATACACAACAATATGTCGGGGATATCTTTTAGTCTCTTCCAAACTTTATTTCTTTTAGTCCTGTTTCTACCCATTTTTTGCATCTATAAATGTCCCTCCCCCGTCACATTTTAATAAAAATAATTCTATTGCATGACAATGGATTAACAGCTATTTACAGTAACTACTGTCTGTACAATAAGGTAATTATGAGAGAGTAGTTTGCCAAATATTCCCTTCTCCACTCACTTCAGTGTTGAAAGGTATCTAGAAATCTGCTGCTAGACAGAGTTTAGGTTTGGTTTGGTTTTACAGCATATCAACCTCCATGGGTTATTTAATGCTAACAAGATTTTTATTTCTGGTAATATTTTTTTTTTTCCTTCAAAAATGTACTGTTGGTAATATATTTTTTTTTTTCAAAAATTCATTGCTGGTATTAAAACCTATTTTTACACTTTCATAGTGTTTTGACCTCAGTTTGGAGGGGGGATTCAACTATTTGCCCATAGCTGGGACCCGAACAGGTGCTACCATTCCGCTACTTATCGTCTTACCCAGGATGCAGATGTAGTTTATAGTCATACCCAGGACAACAGAGTTTAGGAATAAATGAATTCATGCTTTTCCTAAGAGGTATTAGGAGTTTACAATTGATAAAAGTCAATATCTCATCTTATTCTGTATACAGGTATGTATTTATTATAGATAGTTTTATGTACCTGGTTTGCATAAATTTATGCTTGCTATATATATATATATATATATATATATATATATATATATATATATATATATATATATATTCATTAGCATTTGTTAGTTTATATATACATTATAGTTTATAGTATAGATAAAAGAGAACTTACTTTATTGGAACCATATTAATAATTTTTAAATCTTTTGATGCAATGGCTAGCCGATGATAAGAACGTCCAAAATTTGGAGAGAAGGCAAGATCATGTACCGGATCAGTTACCAAGGCTAAGGTTTGTAATTTGCTCCATGACCTGAAAATTGAAAATAAATTAAACCTCAATAATAAAATCAAATTTAGCATTAAACAGCTGAATGGAGACAATAGTACAATATACTGTTCGAAATTTAAATACTTAGAGGGAGGGAGAAAAAAATGTGAGTGTTCTAGGTAAGTTATCAAATATTTTTACAGACCGAGAATTTTTTTTCAGGAATTAGAATATTTACAACTAACAATGTCCTTTGGTCCATGTGAAATGATTTTTTTCAAAAGTATTTTGAAAAACTAGCCAAATTACTTGCGTCTTGCTACATGTCACACTTTTTTTGTAAAAAGATTTTAAGTCATTATTATAATTTCATTCATTTGTCAAATGATGCATTTCAATATTACTCAATGATCTTGCCGATGTGACTCCATCTTCAAGCTTTCTCCTATATTTTGGATTTAATTTAAATCAAAAAGGAAAAAAATTTTCAGTGAGGGGTTTGTGCAAAAACAGCTTAATCTGACCCCTTTGATATGTATTTGATGCAATACTGGATTGAATGAATTGATGAGCAGATTTCAACATTGATATGACAGTTGAGTTGTCACAACAAATATGTATTGTAAGACACTACCCGTTGATTGGTGATTTTTTTACACAACTTGATGTCCGTATTGTCTCATTTTGATCTTGCCAATGTGACCTCCATGTTCTGGCTTTCTCCTCCTATATTTTGGAAAGGAGTCATTCCCTTGTTCAATTTAATTTAAATCAAAAAGGGGGCAAAATTTCAGGGGCAGGGTGAATTTAGTGACATAGTAATTGTGGGTTCAATTCCTGAGAGGAGTAGATTTGATATAAAACTCAGTGTAAACAGGGCAAACAGTAACTGAGCAGTATGAAATAAGACCTAGACATGGCCAGCAGAAAGAGAGAAATCAACCCCACATAGATTAAGGGGTACAGTTCGAAATTCCCTGAAGCTTACTGGACTGATAAGCACTTGAAGAATGAATGCCAAAGAGCACAATGGCTGGAATGATGTGATAATAACAAAGATGAGGACAATAGTCTGATTGTAAATAATGAGGAACATAAATCCAAAATGTATCAATTTCAAAACCTGAAGATCAAAAGTTATTCCTTACCTGAGTTGATCATTATATTGATACACAAAAACTTTTCCTCCAGCAGAGAGATTTGCATCATCACTACCCACTGCAATCATTGGTGGGCAGGATCTAAAAAAAGAAAAGGTAAACAATATGAATTAGTTTTAGAGAGAGAGAGAGAGAGAGAGAGAGAGAGAGATATTTACAAAATTTACCATTTTGAAAGCATTATATACTGCTCAAGATAGTACCAGTCATTTTGCATCATTAACAAAGTTTTGTGAAGAAAGAAAACAAAAAGTTAGAGATCAGAACAGGCAGAATGTGATGTCTTTTAATGCCTGTAATCAGTCTAAAGGTGAACCTGGGTTTTTTTTTCTTCTCTGGAGAGACACTGAAACACGATGAGTCAGTCAGTCTGTCTCCGATTAGTTCAGTTCTTACATAGCTACCTTGAGAGCAGTCAAAAGTCCGACAGAAAAATTCCTTTTCTGAATTGCAAATAGCAGACTAAGCATTGTTACCTATTCAATCACAGTAAGTGCATTGAATGTTTGTCAAATAAGTACTGAGAATGAAGTCACTATCACCCACTGAAGAATCCTCACCATCACTAAATGACAATTTGACAGAGTAACTAAGGTCTCTCTCCCTCATGAAATGAAACAATTGATACAGTATCTGCCACTTATCAGAAGGCAGGATAAGTTTAAGGCTTCAATTGTCAGGTTATTCACTCAGGACTGTCCCATTAGATAATAGCCTAGTAGATTAAAGTACTGGTTTGTTAATTTGGTGACAGTAATCGTGAGTTCAATCCCTGTGCCCCGCAGTGTGTACTTAGAAACAGTGAAAATGGAATGAGCAATAACTGGGAAGTACAAAATAAAAACTAGACAAGATATTCCCAGAACCTACTCCCATAGATTAAATAAAAGGTTCAGTTCGAAATTCTCTGAAGGTTACCCCTGGATCAGCAAGTGCCTGATGCAGACCAGAAGGTGCAACAGCTGAGAAATTGTGATTACAACAAAGATGAGGACAATACTATGCACTTAAATAATAAAAATACTATCTGTCAAATCTTTTTCACTTCATTCACCCATTATAAAATCAACAGGATCTCAATAAATAAAGAAAATATTCTTTCAGTAGCAACAGTGTTATCTTCGGGGGAGAGCAGAGAAAAATAGAAAAAAAAAAAAGTTAATTATCCTGGTTCTTGTAAATTCAGTCAGTTAAGTGCCATATGTTATACATGCTTGGGCGATCATGTATCTTTCCATACATGACTGACGAGGCAGAAGATTTTCCCCCACAGTAGGTTGTCATTTCTTTCTGCAGTAAACTGGTTGCCAACCAAGGCTAAAGAACCCAGTTTGTCCTGCTATTCAATTCATAGCTGAAGTGGGGAGAGAGAAGAGATAGATTCATATCTTTCCCCAAAGGTATTTGTGCATGAGTGAATTCAATGAACTATACTGAAATTTGAACTTGGCTCTCAGAGTTCTCACTCTGAGCCGATATCTTGTAAATTAGAAAAACCATATTGTGTCATATCAAAGTTCATATCAAAGAATTTCTAAATACAGTTACCTGGTAGGATTCCATGATAATGAGCTACAACTAAGTTTGCAATGAATTTCATAATCCAAAGACCAATGGCTCAGGTTCATAACATCAGGAGCTTGATAAATCCTCACCATTCCGTCTGATGTACAAGTAGCCTGAAAAAGAAGGAGAATTTTATTTTAAGCCTTTATCAATTAAAAACAAAGCAAACAACTATGACCACAATCCACATTCTGCAGATTTACATAAAACACAAGTTGTCACAAATTTATTACCACAACCACGAACTGATACATCTGACAGCAAGAGTGTTTCCGAGCTAGGGGTATGACAATTCCTGCTCTCAGTTCCTGGCAGTGTTAGCATTCCCTTGTGTGCCTCAAGTTCAGTGTTAGGGCAGCTTTGGTACAACACCCCTCCCTACCAAGACAATTTGTGTGTTTGAAATTTTTCTTCAAAATCCCCAAGATGTCCACCAAGGATTGAACAGATGGTACACAATGGTTTTGTCCATGTCGTGCAATTTATGAGGAGAAAAAGAAACAAACAATTCAAAGTTTGTATAACCCCCCCAAAAAACCCACTCTCCAACAGCTATCTGAGCTAGATGACAGTTACATGTTTAACCAAAGTCCCCAATGGCATATATTTAGAGCCTTTATATTCAATGTCAGATGATTTTTACTTTTGGCTATTATGCCATGTTCAAAAATTTTGTATTTTGTTTTTTGAGAGGAGTAATTGTTAATGTTTTAACCATTTCAAACTATTGTCCTCATCTTGGTTGTTATGTCATAGACAATGTTTTGGCAAAGTACCCTCTGGCCATGATCAGGTGTCTGTTTTTTGTCTGGTATGAATATAAATTCATAAACAGTTGTACATACTGATCACATTTTGCTGCACATTTCACACTTTTGTTAAAATCACAACCAGAAATTTTTTTTTATTTTTTTTTTTTTTGAGGTGTCTATGTTGCATCTTATAATTCATGAAAATCTGAGAAGCATCATGTGTATTCAAGTGTTACTACCATGATTTATTACTTACCAACTGAAGACCAAGGTGTTTTGGAGCAAATTTAACATCTGTTACAGATGAGCGGCTGTCAACCAAATTTGGTCTCTTTACCCACTTTGTTTTTGAAGTTTCATCACGGGATTCACAAGCTGGAAACAAGATTTTTTTAAAAATGTAAATAATAAATAAACTATTTAACTATTTGCTAATGTAACTGCAAACAGTATTAAAAGAAAAAAAAATTAACAACATACCAATTTTTCAATTCTCTTTGTAAACAGAAGAGGGCTTTGATATTGATGTTTGATAACCCAGGTTTGACCACATCAGCATTTTGGGGAATTTTACAACATACAAAATGTTTGAGAGATCTGGACAAATAGCAGCCTAATAGTGTAATGTCAGGTGAGCATGGCCAGTATAGTAAAAACTTCCCAGCCTAAATCTGATCACCCAAGTCGTTCTTGCAGCAGAATATAATCTATATATATATATATATATATATATATATATATATATATATATATATATATATATATATATATATATCCATTATATCATGATGCAGAATTACCCAAACCCCAGGTTTTTTTTTGGTTTTGTTTTTTTAAAACTGACCCATGCTTTTCCAATTAAAACTTGGCTTAGGCACTCCAAATGTCAACAGCAGACCGATACTGGTTGTGATCTTGTTCCAGTATTTTTTTTTTATTTTTTTTACAAGTTGGTTTATTTTTGTGAGATAAATTTTCTTTATAACATATTTTCTTTGGAGGCCATAATCACTTGAAGAATGTTGCAAGTATTTAAAAATGCCTGTAGTATTCCACTAAACATACAGCAAGATTTTATTTATTGATAAAGGAACTGCTGTCTGACATGGGGAGAGCCATTAATTTATTTGCATTTTTCTAACATCCCGTGTCCAGAAACAGTTCAATAAAGTGATAGTTCCTTTTCCAGTGTATTTGGCAATACATTGCAGATTACTGGACATTAAGCTGTTTTCAGCTGTAAATTTGTAACTCCTTAGCTGCTGACCTTCCTGATTTGATGTTCTTGTACTAGAAACAAAGCTGAATTTATTTTCTGATAATTTTTCAATATTTTGATGAGCATTTGCTTCAACAACTGAGCACATCAGGTTGCCCAGCTCCACTAGCCTTCTTAAATGACAGGCAGGAGTGTGGTTGAAATTGCCCAATTAGAAATTGGTGAATTAACATTGGCATTTGTATACATTTTATGCATTTGGATAAACACTGCAAATCTTTACAGTGACTAGTTACATTACAATAGTAAATACAGACAAAATATGACCTGTCACTTGTTTAGTCACTCATTTTGTACTTTAGGAGGAAGTTCCACTCTGACAACTCCTCCAGAACTGTTATCTTATAGAACAGACTTGAGAAGATGCTTCCATGATCAAATACAATGTTAACCTCTTCAAGTCAACTATTATCTATCATACATATTCTCAAAATAAACATGTCTTACTTCCTCCCTTCATGTCCTTACAACAATTTCATTCAAAAAGAAAAGTTAGATAAATCAAGATTTTAAGATTCATTGTAAATATTTTTAAACAGCATTTCATAAAAGTTTGAAATTTTTTTAATTCCAAATGTCATCTCTAAGGCAACAACTGAAAAATAAAAATAAAATTAACAGAAACAAAAATTAATGACTCACGAAGCTCTTCCCAGATTCCCGCTGCTCGATCAAATGAACATGTTGCTATAACTTGGCCAAAATCTGGATGTGCCCATGTAACTCTCCATACAGAGCCAGTATGTGCCTGAAATTTAAAAGAAAAAGTTAAAATTTTAAGTCTCAGAAAAATCATGGATTTCATATGAGAATCTCTATTTTTTTTTTTAAAACTAAGATGACAATAGAGAAAATGTTAAAAGATAGAAACTTTTTAAAATAATTCACATCTTTCTAGCTAAAGTGAACTTTAACTAAATTGTTCAATGTTTCAATATATTCCTTTAAAATTTTATCAATAGTTTTGTATTAAATTCTGAAGTTTCACAAGAGAATTTTAAAGAGATGCTTTTGCCAAAGATTAACTTGTTTGGTAAATCTTGTATTTATCATGGTTTTCAGTTTAAATTTTTTTTAAAAGTCTTTTTCCAAATCCTAACTTTTTAAAATGATATTTCTTGCAAAAATTAAGTTTAAATATTACTTCAGTTCAAATTAAATTTTTGTTAACATTTTGTATGTGCCAGTAGTGAATGGTTAGAAGCTCGGCAGTAGAATTTGATGTGCCTTCATGTTGAAACAGCACTTTGTACAAGTTTCTTTTTCATGTTTAAACTGAGATATGGCCAAGTTTTTTAAGCTAATATGTTCCAATGGAGTTGGTCTACATTTCTGAGATGAGGTATTATGCACACTATTTACATTATTCGGACTATTGTCCTCATCTTCTTCACCATATTTGTTACGTTTCAGCCTTGTACGCTCCGGCCTTCTTCAGGTGATTGGAATTCAGAGGAGAATTAACAGGAGATAACTGACATCCATTAAACATGGCACGTGGAACTAGAACAGTCTACCTCAGTGAGCAAAATAAAGGGTACAGTTTGACATTCCAACCATCTGAAAAAGGCCAGAGCGTACAATGGCCAAAACGTTGTAATAAATATGGTGACAAAGATGAGGACAATATTCTGAATAATGTAAATAATGTTCCAATGGAATTATAGAATATATAATAGAATTCAATTGAAAACATTTGCTGACAAAAGACTCCCTATGCAAGTATAATTACACAAGCATCTACTAAAATTCATAAGATTTTTATGAGCAGAACTGATAAAGTGTCTTGGAAAAAGAGAACATCTCTTTAGTGAGCTGTTACTTACCTTCCAGCAAGCAGACTGACGCCATTGTCCATCTTCAGATTTGTCCCAGATCTACAACGGAACACAAAATGTTTTTAAAAAATTAGAATATATATATATATATATATATATATATATAAGATGGTTTAATTATCAATATTTACTGCATATTTCCACATGTAAGACAACCTTAAGATATGAGGGTAAAAAAAAAAAAAAAAGAAAAAAAAAAAGCACATTTTCATGAATTCATACCTCTAGTACAAGACGACTTATTGATTATATGAAGATATTATTGTAAATGTTAGTTAATGTATCCTTAGAAATTCAAAATAAATGAAATAAGCTAATTCTACATATGTTTTTGCTACACACATCCCCTAAAAGAAAAAACATTCTTTTATTTACATTTAATCACATGATCTCTTGGGAATACTGATTATTCTTCCTCTTTTCCTTTATCTAAACAGTTACAAGCAGCCGGGTGTACTAATGGCTGTTTACTTGTACTTAATCGACAATCACAAAACACCGCTACTAACTACGATAATACACTTACGTTGAAAGTATACATGACTTTCAACATTTTTTTTTATTCAGTCTGTTCCTAACTTCCGTTTAAACCATTTGAATTTTTTTATTAACTTATATTCGTATCAATCATGAAACCACCAGCAAAATGAAGAAAGTATGAAGCAAGGTTTAAATTCAAAGTCATTGAAGTAGCCAAGGAATTGAACAAATGTGCTGCTGCTAGAAAATTCAATGTGACTCGATGTTTACATTTTCTCAGCTGAGCTTGCATGGACACAAATTGATTTCATTGATATGGAATTATTCTTCAATTAGGCAATTTATTATGAAGTTATCCCAGTAATATATAAGGCAGAAATGATTTTATTACTTTTATTATCATATTTGATAATGTGAATCTTTTTATGTATGTTATTGGTTGCTGCACCAAGGCCAAGGTTAGCCTACCAACAAAACATCACTCAGAATTTAAGGTTACTTTTTTAGAATTGTAGCACAAGATGACCCCCAACTTTTAAGGGTGATTTTTGGGATTTAAAGGTCATTTTATATGCGGAATTATATGGTATATATTCTTTTTAAGTATCTGCTTCAATTGTCATTTTTCACTGTCTTGGGATAGAAGAAAAAGAAAAAAAAAATGTTCCTAACTTTGCATAGGATATCTTTACAAGTTTTGAAAATACTGGAAACTAGTATCACCAGAATTTGAACTAAGTCCTTGGAGATAATTGAAAGATTAAAATAACATTGAAACTTCAACCTACTGAAAAGGAGGTAAATTTTTATAACAACAATGATTTAGATATTTTCTATTAAATGTTTAAGAGGTTAAGCAAAATCTTGTATGAGGGGGCGCTGAAAAGTTTTCAGTCCAATGCATTTTTCAAAAAATTGGCATTCTGATATTTGGTCAGATTTGGGGAAAGGAATCAGATTCCCTTGCATGTAGATATTTTTCAAATCATTAAAGTTGAAACAATAAACCCAACATAAATATTCAATTTAATCTATTTTTAAGATGGGCTAGTATCCTTATCCTTATGTAACAATACTTCTCACACATCTTTAGAAGATAAAGAGATAAAATGAAGGAATTTAAGTCTACTCAGCTATTGGAGTTTCGTAAGAATTTTGTTTCCAGTCCATCTTGAGTGAACTTAGGGGTTAGTGTTTCAGGATTCATGCCTCCAGTTCGCCTTTGAATTGGGAAACAAAAATTTTATCAATGATTTTAGATAGTCATAAAAGTAGTCCTTTGAAGTTTTGGCCACTCATGTGGCTTTTGGGTGGTCCCAAATCTTTCGAAAACACAAGTGGATGGAGAGGGTGGGACCCCAGGATCATCCATATAAGCAGAGAGAAGCAGGAATTTAGGAGAAAAGTAGGTCCAGCCGTGAGAGAACTAGGTAGGTGACCAGAGGAATTGGAGCTGCCCAGTGGCCAGTGACAGAAGGACTGGTAGTGAGGAATCAGGAGTCACCAAGGTCAGTGAAGTTAGGAAGATAGCAGCCCAGCTGAAGGAAGGATCCCAAGTTTAACTGAAAAATCGTATTGTTGCTACTTCCCAACCAGAGAGTCTTGAAAAACAATTGTTTTCACTTCTTTTTTTTTAAAAAAGTGATCATGGCCGAGAAGACAAACCTGTGCCACATAGCAAGTTGAGTGTATATGCAAATACACTCAACTTTGGATGCCATCATAGGAGCAGTGAGCGATGAACGATCGGAGAACACTGTCACAAAACTTGTCACAATTCTGCCATGAATGGTGTCACACTTATGGTTGTTACAGTTATGATCTTTCTAGCATTCTTCAGGTATCCTGCAGGACAGATGGTCTAGTGGATTAAAACATTAGATAAGCATATTTAGTTATCAGGCAGTCATGAATTCAATTCATGGGTCAATAGTGAAAAAGCTATATACACTGATTCAGTTGAAAGATATTAGAATGACAAGTAGGAAGAATTAACTAATACAAAATATTCTGATACGGACAGTGGAAGGAAAACAATCTGTCACCATGGATGGAATAAAAGCCTAAAGAAAAGTAACTGCTGAAGATTATTTTGGAAGACAAAAAAAAAAAAAAAAAAAAGAAGAAAAAAAAAAAGGTTCATCTTAAGAGATAGGACATGAATGGGATAATGCATGGCTTTATTCAATAAGTCTCTTTGAAAAGATTGAAAATTTCAGGTGGGTAAAAATTAATATATATATATATATATATATATATATATATATATATATATATATATATAGAGAGAGAGAGAGAGAGAAAAAGCACCTTTATTCTCCAGAACTTAATTACTTTCTATTACAGAATTTACAGAACCATCTTGATAGATTAATTCTAAAATGATAGAGGCGGTGAAAAGGAGTTTGATGGTATGATGAAACTTGTGAACCATTAGGAGAAGACTGAGATTAATAGAATTTATTCCTTAACATTAGGTACTAATTAAACATTAAATTTTTACCCTAAATTCAGATATTTATTATATGACTTGATAACTAGAGTTGTTCAAACTTCTTGCTGGAATCAAATGGTGAAAATATATTGCTTTAAGAGTTGCATACAATAACATGTTAATTTATAGTATTTTTGACAGTACTAATGACTAATCAACTGTATTACCATGTCAACCTTATTGTTTAAACACTTGCAAAATTCTTAAAGTGATTATGGCCACCAAAGGAACAATGTTATAAAGAAAAATCATCTCACAAATACAAACCAACATGGTAAAAATATTTTAACCGAAATCTTTAGCATAAAATTTAGGTAAGTTCTGAAACCTGAATTTAATATCCATATTTATCCTTTTTGTATTTTTTGAAAATATTTTTAGAAAGAACCCCTTGTTTCTATGTAACATGAAACCTTCATGTCTTTATTCAAAATTAAACAAGCATTCTCAGACAAAGCAGATCAGTAACTGACTCTAAAACAATGAATCAAACTACAGATTTTTTTTTTTTTTTTTTAATATCACCCTCAGCAAGGTGATAAAGCCACCAAGACTTAAAGGGTTACTGAAAGTGAAAGAAACTGAGAAAATGTTATTATGGAGAGAGGACAAGATTGTAATTGTCAGGAAAGATTTTTTAAAATGGATCTGTTTTTTTTTTGTTTTTTTTTACAACTTAACCCTTTGTGGATTACTTGGAATTTTTTTTTTTTTTTGGCAAGTGAATATTACTTTTTTGTGAATAATTTTTCCAGATACAATACCTACTATTTAACCCATAAGGGGGAGGAGATGCCTTCTGCAAAGGCATTTGTGCATAAGTGAATATAATGAACCTGACTAGAATTTGAATTCGTCCCTCCAATTTCTCATTCTGAGCTTCTATCAATTACACCACCTGCACATCTGCAAGAAGCTGTAAGAGAGTTCCACAGGTGAGAAGTGTAAGAGAAGGAACTATTAGAATAGAACTTACGGTTAAACCTAGCAATAGTAAAATGAGACCTAGTTGCCAATCAAATAGTGTGCTTAAATTCTTGAAGTTGACGTACCATCAGAACAATTACCATGAAAATATTTATAGAAGATGGCACAGGAAAGCTAGGATGACTGGAAAATGACTGATGCCGAGATGCCAGATCAGAGCAGATAATGTTGCACATTCTTTGGATTTTGTCAAGAATCTCAAGATATATCACAGGAGCAGCAGACTAGATGTGGCAGCAATATTCAATGCCTGGACCATTATTCATATACAAGAATGTTTAATGCTTGACAAAAACAAAAAAATTGTAATTGCAACACTTGCATGTAATTTTTTTTAAACATTAAATTATTATTACAAATCAAAATCATCATTTATAATCATATATAAATAACTCTGAAGGTTAGCAAGAGACCAATGTGTCAAGCAAGTCTGTTTCAAAAGTATTTTGGTACATGCACACTAAAATACCAGAAATTTTCCAAGTTTTAAATTTTTTCTTGTTTGTCAATCAAAATAAAAGAAAATAAATTCAATGTAAATCAAAAAAAAAAAAAAAAAAAAAAAAAAAGGAAAGATGTAGGCAAAACTGTATGAAAGGCAAGTGAACTTCTTGTCTGGGTGTCATTTTTAAGCTTTTTCTTCTTTTTCATGATTTAGTAGATCAAAGTTCTGGTGTTTCCTTTTCAAGATAAAGGAATGGATCACCAAGAAATCACATCACCCAAGTTTAAAGATTTTACTTTTACTGTAGGGTGACATGGACAAACCTTGAATTTATAATAATCAATCTTTGGAAACCTGTGTAATCTGCTTCAGGATTGTTGACCTAGCGTTCCAAACAGCTTTTTACTGTAATACCCAAATTTGACATTTTTTAATTTTTGCTGCTTGTCAATTAAAATAATGGAAATAAATTCAATATAAATAAACAAATAAAAATCAAGTTTTCTTTATGGAAAAAACTTGATTCAAAAAATAAAATTTAAATGGTTACTATGAGTCAAAATAGGTGAGACAACATTTGGTATCAACATTTTAGTGCCAAGTACTGAAATTTATGAAGGCCGACCAACCATG